TGGGCGACTTGGCGAGACCTCATCTTTACAAGAAATCAAAAATTAGCCGGGCATGGTAGCGCGTGCCTGTAGTTCCAGCTACTTGAAAGGCTGAGGCGGAAGGACTGCCGGAGCCCAGCAGGTCAAGGCTGCGGTGGCCAGGAGCGGCCACTGCACTCCAGTCAGGGCGACAGAGTGAGACTCTGACTCAAAAAAAAAAAAGAAAATTTTCTTAAAGAGTGTAACAGTAAGGACAGAACTAGCCCTAACAGATGTTATACATGCCATAAAATCTCTATAATTAAAACAGTGTGGTATTGGAGCATGAATAGACAAAGAGACCAATGGAACATAATGGAAGTCTAGACATAGACCTAAAAATATATAAAAATATAGAATATATGGACTGGGTGTGATGGCTCACTCTTGTAATCCCAGCACTTTGGGAGGCCAAGATAGGAGGATCACTTGAGCCCAGGAGTTCAAGATAAGCCTGAGCAACATAGCAAGACCTTGTCTCTACAAAAAGCAAAAAGAAGAAAATATAAAATACGATAAAGATGGCATATCAGGTCTCTGAAAAAAGATGGACTTTTTAATAAATGGTGTTGGGACAAGCAGATAGCGTTTTCTAAAATGAGTTTGTACCTTTTTTTATTTTAAAAATTGTTGTTAAAGTTCAGTGGCACATGCCACAGTTCTCCCAAGACAAACCCTAATTCTCCTACTTAGGGCAGCCCCTTTAAGGTCTCAGACAAGCAAAATCTCATACACACAAGGGCAAAAAACTGAGACTCCTAACTAGATTGGAACCTGTGCTTTCCAGAATCTCCTCTCCCTACAGTTCACTCATCCCTGATCTCTCTGTGGCTCCCAGCTTGCAGCATTTGGCAGGGCTGCTCCAAGCTCGTGGCCCACAGCTGTTACCCCCACTTGGCACTTAGCAGGATACCCGGGAACAGTCATGTATTATTGGCCAGTGGGCCCCATCTACAAAGCTGCTGGTTTCTCCAGCTGCTCTGGCAAATCCAAATTATCCTTCAGCCTAGAAAAGGTTTTGTGGCAGGTGGCTGTCCACCTTTCCCCCTCCACAGACCTCACCTCCTGGGGAGCCAGGAATGAGGCCCAGTAGAGGCCAGGGATGCGGAAGAGAACCCAGACTATGGGTAGGGAGGGAGCCAGGCAAGCCCCACTGACCTCATCGAAGGTGATTTCTTGACTTTGCCAGTTCTCAATGTTGAAGAGCATGACCACTCGGCCATATCTGTCCCGACTAGGGAGGACACCTGGGTAGCCAGCCTCGATGGTGCAGCGGACGGCCGCAGGGGATAGGCTGTCAAAGAGCTCGGGGTACTGCAGCCGGAAGTTCACATAGCCTGGAGCAAAGAGAGCCGAGAACCCCCCTCAGGGAGCCATCCCATCGGACCCCATCCCACCTGGTGGGAGTTAGGGACTTGGCCTCCTGCCTGGCTCTTCCACATACATCCTGTGCATGACTGAGCAGAATACTCAACCTATCTGAGCCCCATGTTTCCTCTTTAAAAAAAACTGAAGCTGGGCTTGGTGGCTCAGCCTGTAATCCCGCGCTTTGGGAGGCTGAGGTGAGTGGATTGCCTGAACCCGAGGGTTTGAGACCCACCTGGGCAACTTGGTGAGACCTCATCTCTACAATAAATTAAAAAAAAATTAGCCGGGCATGGTAGCACATGCCTGTAGTTTCAGCTACTTGGAAGGCTGAGGCAGAAGGATCGCCGGAGCCCAGCAGGTCGAGGCTGCGGTGGCCGGGAGCGGCCACTGCACTCCAGCCTGGGTGACAGAGTGAGACTCCAACTCAAAAAAAAAACACAAAAAACTGAGATCTTCATATTGGCCTATCTCACCAAATTGTTGTAGCAATCAAACGAGATTTAAGGTGTGAACATCGTTGTAGCTTTGCAAACATGAGGTATAGTTCTAAATATGAGAACAACTATTGTTATTTTCTTTCACATGGGGACAAGGCATAGGTTTTTCAACTAGGCACAGGGTTAGCTGAGTGGAGGTGTGGGCAGGGCTGGGGAGAAGCTCCTGAAATAAAATCCACACCCCAGGCAAGACACAGAGCCCCACCTGATTCCAGCAGCACCCCTACTGCCCACAAACGCCATCCTGTACCCATCCTGAACCCATCCTTGCCTCTGTGTGGCTGTCTGCACTATCAAACATGAACCCCTGGAGGGGCTGGGCCCAGAGGAAGTATTGGGGAGGATTTGCCAAGGGAATGCCACACCAGCCTCCTCACTGTTCTAGAACACTCCAGGCACATCCCATCACCTAGCCTTTATCTTTGCTGTTCCCTCTGCCCTGATTGCTCTTCCCCACAGATATCTCCTTTTGAGGGGAGTTTTCTTCAAAAGCTCCCTTTGTACTGTGGTCTTCCTGGTCACTTTACCTAAAACTTCAACCCCTCAACCCTTTATAGCCACCTCCTTAATCGTTCTCCTTACTCCAGCTCACTAACACTCTACATGTTTCTAATTTATTTGCTGATTCTTTCCACCATTAGGATGTAAGTTCCACGAGGGCAGGGGATTCTTGTCTGTTTTGTTCTTCACTGCGGTCAGAGGGGAAACTCCTCCTCTGGTCACCCAAACACTCAAATTCTACTCGTTGAATCCCAAGACTGGAAAAGAGGAGAGATGAGTCACACCTCCGTGAATCTGGACCTGACAGACTCCACTCATTCATTCACCCATTCATTCATTGTCAGAGCTGAAAGGGATCTTAATGCAGCTGTTTAGTTCACACACACACACACCCGTTTTGCAGGTAAGGATATGGAGACAGAGAAATTGACTGGCCCACAGCACGGAAGCGGGCTTCTTCAGTGCCTGGTTGAGGGTGGACACCATCCTCACGACCTCCTCCCGCCTCCTCCAGCGCGGACCTCACCTCTGAGCAGCTCATAGGCGCGCCCCACGTTGAACTTCCGCGCGCGGACGAAGCGCAGGAAGAAGCCGCTGTCCTTCTCCCGCACCCTCTCCGCCACGGCCACGGCCAGCTCCTCCCCGGTAGCCGCCTGTGCCTGCACCATCTCCTGCAGCTCTCGCACCGCCTCCTCCCGAGTCTCCTCCCTCTCATTCAGCTCGTCCTTGGCCTGGAACAGAGTGGGATGTGGGCACGAAGGCAGAGGTAGGTGCGGAAGAGGGCGGGGCACGTGTGTGCTGAACCTCCCGCCAGAGCTGGACCCCTGAGAGGGTCCAGAGGTCGGCAGATGCCTCCCCCTGCCCCCCGCCCCTCCACCCTCCTCCTCTTCTGCCCACTAGGGCAGCACCTCAGGTTGATGTGCTTGGAGAGAATTAGGTGAAATTGGTCATCCTGGGTGTGTCTGCAGGACTAGATAACAGTCTAAATATTTCTAGCAATAACTGCATAGAATTACTCAGCCCTTAACACTCTTCTAAGACCTTTATTAAATGCATTGTGGGTTTTTAAAAAATCTGTTTGGTTTTTTTGTTTGGTTTGGTTTTTTGGTTTGTTTGTTTTAAAGACAAAGTCTTTTTTTTTTTTTTTTTTTGAGTTGGAGTC